GTTTCATGCAGTCAGACTACCGTTAATTTCTGAGCTGTATTTTTGTAGAAAGCAAGTGCCACTGTCTCTTCTTTTCATTATGGATTTGTGATGCATACGCGTTTGAGCTTATAGTGAATTATTTGGTGCTTGTCGTCCTCCTTGCTGGTGTTGCTGCTGGTGTCTTGGGTAATCCTCTTGGCGGAGGTGGTGGACAGCTTGCTAAAGGTTTAAAACAAGGTAGCTTTGGTGGACGAAATGGTATCAATGGCAAAGCACTGGCAACAGCTATCGTTCTGACTCAGAATTGGTATACAGGAACGGTATTATCTGGATCCACGTATTTTCCACATGGTCTCACAGCAAGTACCATCTACACTGCCAGTGTTGAGATTCAAACTGCTGTCGACACGTGGATACCACCGAATGACATTCTCGCCGGGTATGCCTATACCTGGTATGTTATTGGTCCAAACTTTTATATTAGTTTAACAACCACAAATTCAGCACAAATCCAACAGAAACCATTTCGAGTTCTCATTCAATTTCGATCAGCCTGATAGAAACATTTCGACTCAAAAGCTCAGAAATACATTCCATTTCCATTCCTCGCAGAACTAATCTCTTTTTTCTTACTTTACTAGTTTAGACGTTCGTTTAATCTGGACAGTGTGTATCATCTCTCCTTCTTTCAACAAGTAAAACGCGTACACGTCTTTTTTGTAATTCGGTGTTTACTGTAACAAACAGATTTAATAAAAAGGTTTTGGAATATGCGACCTCGTCTGGAAAATTCATTTCAAAAGTTTCTTCTCATTTCTTCAAGTTAATGACATTATAATACTAATTATACAATATTCATACTTTGTCTTTCAAAAGCATACACATTCTCCTTTCACATTCCCTTAAACACTCCCCCCTAGATAGATATAACACGACAAATGAAACTAAAACTTTTACCATAATGCTGATGAAAAATTATTTTAGGTAAGCGTCACTCTACATGAGCCTCCTCTCTTCGTCACTGGCGTAAGAAACACTAATCGGAAGAGACTCAATGCTCAGGAAAAACGTATACCGGTATTGACTTGTCTGTACCGTTAAATTGGGATGCATTACTACGAATGGCTAAAGATTCCCTTACTAGCAACAAATAATGTCCAGGATAGATATTATTTTAAATTTATCGAAATGAATAGAATATTCAGAATTGTTGTATAACATGTTTACTCAGCACTGATTTAGATTTAAAATTGCATAATGTCTAGGTGTTCTTATGACTTATTTTGTTTATTAATTCCGGTAGCTATACGGGAGGGGCCAAACCTTAAATTAAAAAGTTTATACATGAATGTAATTTATTTTCTTCTTTTAATAAAATCTCGGTATTTACATGCTTTGGCAATGATGTGAAACTGACTTCCACATAACGCCTAAACAAGAAATGCATACCATTCGTAGCGTAGCGTATTGCAATAGCCATCGTAATCGTATTGTGGACTGTTTTTATTCAGAATCATTACAGAACTTGTGTTGATAAATATCTGAGGATAGACTTACACCATGAACAGCACACTTGTTTGACAACGTCAACCTCACTTTCCTTTGTTGAATATATACTGGAATAACGCTTGATCTTCACATCATTATTAGATCGCCAACAACGGTGAGTTTTTACATGTAAATTATGGCTGCCATGCAGGTAATAGAATACCTTTATTATGAGCAAGAATTTGTTTAAAATAAGTCACAAAAACATCATTCAAGTTAGTCGGTATGGAAATGCGTATTCAAAAGAACAGAATGTCTGTACATTATCAGGAAATCTGACGCCCCAACCGGTTTAAATAGAGCACTATGAATTTGATATCGACTTTTATACACGCTATTATTTTTTGTAGAATTAAAACGAGCCGATTAAAATATTCCCGTATCAGTTTGTTAAGTAATAAGTTTTGTCTACTGTGTTTATTACCGACACTAAGAAGCGTGCTAAAAAGTAAAAGCAAAAAGGTATGAGTGGAAAAATGACACATAATAAAATAACAGCGTTTATTTCTTTTTTCCCATTGATAAGTAATAAAACCTTATTACATTTACGGAGCCAAATAATAATTACTGAATTATAGTATCACCTCTTAATTTCTATCTACAGCGGTCAGACATCACGTAATCGAGATCAATTTTGCAGAAATATAAAAGTGATTTTTTCCAGTATTAAAAGTGTAGAACAAATTAAACGGGAACAATTCTGTCAATTTTCTTTGAGCTTTTTAGTTTTCACCTGAAGTTTTTGTCGGCAACTTTATCGAAATACTTTTATTTTATCAAAGCCTCTTTAAACATAATTGAAAGTGATAAGAAAAATTAGTACGTACACATCTTGGAATCGGAGAGTGACGTAATGCTTCTCATTTCAGAATTTTTGTATAACATGTTTACTCAGCACTGATTTAGATTTAAAATTGCATAATGTCTAGGAGTGACGGGTAACTTGAATGATGTTTTTGTGACTTATTTTGAAGAAATTCTTGCTGATAATAAAGCTATTCTATTATCTGCAATTTTTAAGGATCGTAAAATTTAATTTAAAAGAGAAAGATTCTACTGTTTGTAAATAATCATCATTAAGAATAGGTTACTATAATCTAAATGTCATCGAGAACTTGTTCAGAGATTGTATTCAGATTGAAAAATCTAATCGTAACTAGTACTACATTAGACTTTTGATTTTGTTTTTGAATAGCGTAAAGTAATTTGTGTAATTAATATACAAAGAACAGAAGAAAAATTAACAACAACAGAGTCAACGACGTAGAGAAAAAAAAAGGACAAACAGCAATACTTATACATACAACACACAAATTGAATTCTCATTATTTCATTATATAAAAGTTTTTCTCTGTAGTTATGAAGTATCATAAAATTAATTGCATCTCGAAAAAATAATAATAATAATAAAACAAATACAATGACGGAATGTAGAATTTTCTAAAGAAAAGTAAATACAGATGTATGTAATATCACACAAAACAAAAAAAAGTGTTCGACTATGTTAACGGTGTTGTTGTTTCTCTAACATTTATGAAAGATCTTCTGAAACTGTTTAATGTGACACCATTCAATACAATTGTATAAAATATCGTTGCCAACAAGAGTAGATAACCAGTTACCAGCGAAATCGCATAGACTGGCGTTTTTGTTCGATTTATTAATGTCTGAAAATGTGAAAAATAAAATAGAGACATAATTGAAACGAGAGTTTTACTTACAAGACATGAAAAGAGCATATGTGCGATAACAACAACGATCGGTCCAACGATTCGTTGATAACCATGTTTATCTAACGATGTAAACATCACAACACCCCAAAATGTATGCAATAATATAATAGCTAATGTTAAAAAGGCTAAAAATAGTAAATATAAACAATAATAAGAAAAGTCTAGACACCTCTTTATGTCTCTTACCGGTAGCTGTAAAAAAGCCCTGTGAATGACCACTTATTCCAATTGTGCCAGGACCAGCCATATCTGATAAAACATTAACAATTGCAAATGCCCCGCTAATCAAACCGTATCCATAACCAGATGCTAAAATGGAATAAAAATTATGATTAATTTCCATTTTTCATTTTTAAATAATCTCAATTATAAGCAAACAACAAAATATTTGTATGTTATATCTGACATACTGTCTTACCGTATGCCACGGCCAATCTGTCAAATATCATTCCTTTTGCTGCCAATTCTTGTAAACGGACGGATTGTAACGCTGTTTCAGCGCGTCTAAAAATACAAAAATTTTCTCTATTTCAAAAATACTATAGGAAAACACATAGAAGAAAACCTACTTGATAACTAAATAGAATAGATATCGAAAGGCTTCTTGAAATATAACAGAAAATGGAACAGCAAAGGCTAATTCACTACGTAATGGTACAACGGCATACCATAGTAAAGATGATACTAATAGTGATAATAGCCAAAAGAATGCACTAAAAAAAAACACGTAAACGAGCTTAAGAAAAATTTAAAAAATTTAAACCAACATTTACCTTGTCATTAAAATAATAATTCGAAATGGATGTCTGGCAATTGTAAATATGAACATAGAAAATGGAATGCCAAATGCAATCATTGTACAACCAACACATTCCATTACCGTCATTTTAGAAACTTTAGAGGAAAAAAGAATAAAAGGCTAACAAATGAAATTAACCTGAAAAAGAAAAAATGGTTATTTTTATAGTTGTCATTATGAATTTTTGTCACGCAGAACAATAGTATCGCAAAAATAAAAAAAATATTTTCAGGAAAAGATGCACAGCGATTAAATTTAACTCAATACATTGAAGATTTACTTCAATTTACGAGTTAATGCTGAATAATAGAATTTTTTCCAGCAGCAACAGAAAAGCTAAAATTATCAATACTTAAATTTGTTACAGTGCAATGTAAAACTAACAAAAACAAAAACAAAAAAACCAACAGCAGACAAAACGTTGAAAGTTTTGACTGTGCTAAAAATTTAGGAGAAAAAGAGAGATCCTCATTATAATCATTAGAAAAGGTCCATTTTATTTATCTTCTTGGCATTTCAGAAATGATGCCTTGTTGTTCAACTAATTGTTTCATTCTTTCAAACCATGGTTGAATATTCGTATTATTCAATAGATCTTGAAATGCTTGAGTACCTTGTATCGATGTTAAAATACCATAGCAACTAATATCAGCCAAGTTGGGTTGTGTACCACCTTGAAAAGAAAATAACGCACAGATACTAACAACTTTATAAAATACTTTGTCAATATGCCACATTGTTTTGGTATATTTGAGGGATGGAAGAGATATCGAGAAAGCGCAGTTATGGTAATCCTCCGAGAATTATGCTGTTTCTCGTGAAAGTTAGCGTCAATCTACGAGGAACTGTACTTTATCCTTGAAAGTTTAGATCTGTCAACAGCAATTTGTTTGTATAAATCGCTGCAGTTGTGCTGTTGTTAATCCCAAAGAACCGACGTCTTTTTGCCTAGGAGAAACAGCAGAATGCTCGGGTGAAAGCATAAGTGATCATAATTTGTACTTCTGGCTTTTCTTACCACTAGGTATGCACCTAGCCCGAGTACCTGATACTCGATACTCAGCACTACTCGACTACTCGATACTACTCACGAAGGTACACATTTTAAAACCAGTCCTTTTTTTTGTACATAGCCTTCTTCTGTTCTGCACAATGACGGAAGACGCTTTTCAGATCTCGGATTATGTTTAACTCAAAGAAATAATTTTTGTGGCTTATCGTGTGCCATAGTAGCATGGTAGTAATGATGACATTGTCACTGTATTGACAAGCGACTTTTAGTTGCAACTCAGCAGTAAAAAATATCCCATAGAAGATAACTTTTATTGATTTTGACTGTAGATACCTACAAAAGTTTTTGCACGAACGTACATGTCAATAAGTTTCAAAGGAAAAGTTTCATTCAAAACAATTCAAACTTAAAGGATGCAACTTTTCGAGTATCGAGTAGTCGAGTCCGAGTATCTCGAGCAGGACTCGGACTCGATGCATGCCTACTTACTACACAAAGATTCTATCCATAATTCCAGTAGAATATCATAATTATCCTTTCTCGAAATCTTTCCCACTACCCAAAACTTATTATCACAATACAAGAAAACACATCAGTTTAAGATTTAACTCTTATTTTGATGTAATTCAGTCATCTTACCTAAGAACTTTTTATTTCCTACGGCTTCAATCCATTCATTTGCACAATCGTACAATGATTCTCTAACATTCGGTTTTAAATTATGTTTTCGTTTTAATTTTCCACTAACGCCGTACATAACCACAGCACCAATGTAGGTGATAAAAAATCGTTCATACCAGGGAAATATTTGTTCCCACTCACCTTAAAATAGAGAAAATATTAAAATGATCAAAAATATTTATTTAATAAAGGAGACAAAAATATTTTTAAATACCAGCTTGACTGAACCATCTAAAACTGTTTATTGCTTCATTTATTGTATGATAAATATTTGGTGAAAGTGTATGAACAAATGTATTATCAATCCATTCACGCCATTTTCTTTCTAATTTAAATTGATCATTTGAATTTTGATCATCTCGATTCTGTAAGATTAAGTCATTACTGTCGTCTTTGACACCACCTACAACTCCACTACCAACATTTATTAGGCCATGCTCACTTCGTGCAATAGTGGATGTATCTGTGGCGGTTTTATTTGATGAGAAGAGACCACCTAAAATAAATCTATAAACGGTTTGCCACGAAAGATACAAAAGTCTAGTGAGTCTGTTAAATACTTTCATTCTCCCTTCTCCCCTCCCTTTCATCGGTACATACCTAAAAATTTTCTAATACCACTAACTTCTTGCCGTGATTTTTCACGTTGCACATATTTAATAGGATCTCTTCTTGCATTGTCAATTGGTTCCGTAAGAAAATATTTATTTGGATAATTAAATAGTAGTTTACCATTTTTCTCTTTTTCTATAACTGGTGGATACAAACACGAAATATCCTTAAAAGTTTTGGTCGGTATACGAAAATACGATTCAATTGCTGATAAAATTAAACTTGAATCATTTAATTGTAATTTTTCATCTTCAACAACGACTACTGGTACTTTCTTATAACTCGACCATTTTACTTCACGACGTAGGATACTATTGACTTCAACAATATCATACGGAATACGATTGTAATTCAGATACGCTCGAACTTTACAAGAAAATGGACCTAAATATAAAACAACAACATATAGATTCTTTTCAAACTGAACTAAATGCAAGATAGTGTACTAAAACATTCAAAAGACAAAATGTGACGAGAAAAGAGAAACCGAAAACTCTCTTACACGTAATATATTGATATAAAGTTAATTTATATGGAAATTCTTTTAATGGTGGACGATCAAACGTGACATGTTTTGTTATCGGTGGTGGTACAGGACGTTTTTCCATTGCGTGACGCTCAAGTAACTCTGAATTTGCCACATATTCTAAATTTGATCACACATTTTGAATGTCTAATCAAAGAAATTTGAAAATGAACTACCTGGTAATGCTCCTTCATGATTATGTACTTTACGTAATGCATAAATTGTACCTATAAGTGCACCAGCTGCAATTGAAAATATATAATAATGAGAACGTCGTTTCGATTTGATGGGATTTGATTGTTCATTTTGTTGAGATGATTGTTGTTGATAGACAACTGTTGTTGTTCTTAACAGTGATTTGTGATTCAATAATAAACTACGGTAAATACTTTGTTTTAACGAGAATAAACGACAAGAAGATAATAAAAATGGGGCTAGTGACGGCATTATCTCAAACGAAAAACAAATAACTTTAGAGAATTTGTAGATCCTCCTCGAAGTTACTAAAGAAAACATAGCGAAAATCGATTTCTGTAAGCAGTTATCAGATCAGCGTTTCTAATGGCAAAGTATACGTACATTTTGAAAATTTGATATACACTATGTAATACACGTCGCCGAAAAACAATATACGTTTTTCTTCAGAAAAATTTTGGTCAGTTTACAGTAAATAATATTTATCTCTTGACTAATGACTCATTTTTGTTCATCATAATATAAACAAAGAAAAGGCAAACAGAAACAATGGAGTTTCGTGAATTTTTTACTCATCTTGAGAGTCATTCGCTCAAAGGATATGCAGTGGTGGCGCGAAGAGGTTGGGAGCATGGGGGGTAAATCCAAAAATGGGAGTAAGGTCTCCAAAAACAAACCGCTGACTCTCCGAGCTCATGATGAAGTATAAATAATTGATGAGCATCACCCATTAAGTTTGCCTAAACGTTATAGTCACTGTAATTTTCTCAGACGTAGGCGGAAAAAATAGAAATAAGTCATCTAAGTCGGTTAAGAAAGCTTCTTCAAAGAGCACATTTAACATCAGTTTTCGGAGAAAGCAGCACTTTAGTATTCGGAAAAACCAAAATCGGAGTAAATCATCCCTCAGGTTTCTCCGAAATTCGGAGTAAATCGTTCTTATCTTTTCTCAAATTACGAGTAAACTGTTCTTGATTTTGTTCAAAATCGGAGGAAGTCACTCCCCGAGTTTCTCCAAAATTGGGAGTAAAGGTCCCATGACTTCCTCCAAAACGGGAGTAAATGGGTCTTGATTTTGTTCAAAATTGGAGTAAATCACTCTCCGAGTTTCTCCGAAATGAGAGTAAATCGTTCTTATCTTTTCCCAAATTTGGGAGTAAATCGTTCATATTTTTTTCACAAATTGGGAGTAAATTTGACTAACTTTTTTAAAAAAGTATGGGGGGGTAACCCGCCACTGAGGATATGATATGATATACATTCTACGGTGGAAGAGGATGAGAGAGAGAGAATCAGGAATAAGTATGAAATTTAAGATTAAAAGAGTATAGTAGTATTAGTAGTAGTAGTATTCAGATAAGCAACGATATGAGTGAAAAAACACATCGATGCCAGAAAAAGCCTGAAAGCTATCCAGCCCGTTTAATGAGAATTTGTCAACAGCTACATGGAAAGTTTCTTCACTAAAATGTTCTATTCATGATACACTAAGAGAAAAACAAAGTCAAACAAGATGAGCACGTATATTTTGATTGAAATAGCAGAGTGACTATGTGCACTTAAAAAACAGTTTTAAATCAAAATGCTGAATCAGATAATTTACAAAACGTCGCTACTATTTAGATAAAGAAGCAACAGACATGTGATAACATGTTCAAAAATATTTTATCGATTAATTGCTTCGCGTAGTAGTATAAAAAGCATTGCCACCTTTAACTTCACAGAACGGCATAATTAAACCACACTGGTTTGGATTTGTGACTAAATTATTTTCAGCATAGAAGACAAGGTATCATAATTAACGATATTTAAAGATAACTATTATATATGTGAGTTTCTCTTCTGAAGACAGCAGAAGATAAAATATCCAAGAGATTGTCATTCGATATTTTTTTATGATTAGTCAAATTCCTACACTCATGTTATATATTCGAATGGGAGATGCACTAACCAATAATTGAAACGCTAGTTAATAGATGGCGCACAAAATTATACTAACAGTTTCTTCTCTATTAGTTTTCAACGCTGTTAACGACACGAGAGATCTGCTAAAACTTCAAAGTCTGTCTATAAGAAAGTTCTGAAGACTACGGATAAAGGTAAAAGGCTGAGAAGAAGGAGATTAGAGTGCTTCCGCGCAGATCAACCCACTATTACATTCACCATTAGCCGCGAAAATTTCACTTTTCCCATCGTGTAGAGCATCAAAAATAATCTAAAGGTCTGGCACAAAAGAATGAATTTTGTAAATCAAACAAAATCTGCATAGGTGGTGTCTATGTGTTAATAATTTTACAAGCAAAGTCTTTATTATAACTGGTATCTATGATGACAATTTAACCTATTTACGACCCTTGTTAATAGTTAATGGGT